CTCCGCGTATGCGTCCACAGCCAAATAACTCGGAATTTTTAGCAAGGCTTATACGCGCTGTAAACTTGTATATGGCACTCCTATCTGACTGCTCTCAAATGGTCAGAGCGAGAATATGGCAATCCCTGCCTAACCGCAAATACGTAAAATCAGTTCTTTGTGTGTGTTATTTTTCTGGTATCTTGAAGTGGTTTATGTGACAAAAATGTCATTACATTTTGATGACCTAATGAAGATCTTAGGGTAAAGGTATCGATGTTCCGCGTCCATCAGAAACTGTTCCGTGTCACAGTATTTCTAATTGGACTTAATGAATGTAGTTCCACGAGGATTCTCACTGTCTCCTGTCAGACGACTTTGGACGAAAGCTTTGAAGATAAGAGAAACTGACCGGACTGGAAACGACGCCTGCCTCAGTGCAGGTCGAATGGTGTTGACATGACATCCGCACTTTTTTGCGTAGTACTTGCCTCCATGGAGCCATTACTAATACAATACTTTATTACTGATTTTGGTTCCCGAGATAGTTACATTTTACTACACTTAAAGTGAATTTTGATTTTTTTTTCTCATCTCGTAGTTCAAATTTTGTAAGGGAACGTATGATGTTGGTATGACGAAAAACTACCAATCAGAAGATGTTCTCTGCGTAGGCAGCCTTATAATTGACAGAGACCCTCTCCTTAAGGATCTTTGAACTAAATTAATTTAATGTCCATTGCTAAATAGTCGCGATACACAAAAAAGATATCAGTGGTAGCTCTAAACTAAGTGACGCCTTTAATAGCCATGTTGGATAATAAAAATAAAGATGACCTAGACCATAATTTAAATCATGATTTGAATCAGACCAGTTTTACTATGATGATTTCAATCAGACCAGTTTAGTATGATGATTTAAATCAAACGTTTCACGAAAAAATAACTCCAAAATAGTTTTTTTTTCGTTTGTCTGTCTATCATATCACGCTTTCTATGTGCATTTGTTCTGTTTTTTTTTATTTTTTTTTAGATCAGAATCATCACAGATATAATAAAAAAAAAAGCTTTCTAAAATTATGTTACAGTGAGCCGTCTGACAGGAGTGTTCTATGTCGGTGCACATGTCCAAGTTGGTCTGCTAAGCTCCTCTAGTTTTGGAGTCGTCTCTTCATCATAAAATGCAACTGCTCCTCCATACAGGAAACAAAACAAGACATACAACTCACTGCCCAAATAAGAATGCACTGTCACTTTTTATTCTTTCACGAGACGTTTCCAAGTAGGACTGTCTGGACACGAAAATTCTCCCGCTCCTACTTTATATCCCAATACCCGCAATAGCCATCCCGCTTTGTGATGTATGCTTTCCACGACGCTCAACTGAGTTTTAAGAGCCACATGAACAAGAAAACACGAGGGGATATTGTTATCGAAAAATCGCCATTAAAGGTGGAGTTCGAGCCAGAGGAGAGCTTCATATAGCCTGTGCCAAACTAAGACTTAAAGCCATATTTGAAGGAATTAGGAACTATTATAAATCCTCAAGAAACGCCCACCTTTGAAAGAAAGCCTACCTCAGACTTTTTCCTGTAATGAGAGTTTGCTTGGGATTTTCGTGACATCCCCAATAAACATGATATAGTAATCGCTACCGTAGATCAAACTCTTCAAATATTCACTGCACCCTTTTGCAACATCCAGAGAACGGGATGTTTGAAGGACGGTTCTGCGTTGATGTTCTTAGCAAGCATTATCGATTCTACTGACTCGTTATTCTTTCTTATTTAATTAGAACTAAAGGTCGGCTTGTGGAATACCGGACGCGAACAAAGCCGATGGCATCATGCGCTCTTTCGCGTCGCTCCTTTATTTCGTTTTCAAACTTTACCTGAGACGTTACTGAACGCGAAAGCGGTTCTCGAAGGGATTATGCAGCTTGCTATGGCTAGGCCTTAAGGGGTTTCTGATTAACATTTTGCTGACTCTGATTCAAAAAGCGACTTAATACTCAACGAGTCAATTACAAAGTGGCAAATGCCGCCACTGATGGACGAAATGGGACGGAGGTAGATCTGATCTCGGGTATCACTTTTTTAGAGACAAATCGGGCGGTGCGAGACGAGGTAAAAATAATAAACACACACAGAACCGTGTTACTGGCTAATGACAGCTTCAGCTCAAAAGTACAACAATGATACAAGGCTGCTGCTCTTGCAAGAACTCAAACCACTTTTCCGCGACTCTGAGTGCCTTTTTTAATGCTACTTCAGAAAAAAAGAACATTTGGTTTTGCGGTTTATCAGTTCCGAAAACACCTATAGCGACGACCAGCCTTGGCGACTTAGTAGACAAACCTTCCGAATCTATCACGCCCCAGAGTGGTGTGGGAATCAGCGTTTACCCGAGTTTCCATGAGATCATTTGAATCTGAGCAATGCTTCGAAATAATACGGGCAAAAAAGATATTGACTAACGCGATGAGCGAACAAATAGGAACTATCATGTGCTCGTTGGAGACTTTCACAGTCTTCCGGTCTACAAAATCAGCAGCGAAATTAGCTGCTTTTTTTCTTCTTTCGTCCGCAGTGTTGTGCATTGACGAATCGTATACGACTTCTCATGCATGACCGTCAACAACGAAGTGTGAAACAGCTTGCGCATGCCGTTAGCCTACTGCCAGCGCCAGGCCGTGCGCGTTGGACCAGAATCTATACGTCCAACGAGTCGACAGACTGACAACGACTATACTCCGTCTCACCTTACGAGGGACCGCTGAGGACGCTATACGCGCCATTCCAGCCAATTTATGCGGAGCGCAAGTTCGTCTGCTTCTTGCACAGTACTTGCGGTAATGTCAGAACGCCGAGCTCTTATTGGATGATCGAGAAAAAAAATACTGGTTAGACCTCGAGGCATTTAGCATTGAGGTCTACCCACTATCCTTCCAATCAAAGCCAACCAAAACTCGGTGTCGTTCTCACGTCGTCACCGCAAGTCCTGCGCGAAAAGCAGACAAACTTGCTGTCCGCATAGCGCTGTGGACCTATCACACGACCATGCTGTTCGCGCGTCGCCTTGCCCCACGCGAACATCCCCCTCTTCCTCTATGGAACGCCAGCGCCGTCGGACGGCGCATTCACTTTGCGCGAATGGTTTAGCCGGGGATAGAAAACGCACTTAAAGGCCGACGACCAGACTCTAAATTCTGCAAGGCAGAAGATCCTCTTCACCATGGGGGAGGAGGAAACAGGCATCGGTGGACAGGGTAGAAAGGGGGGAGAAGGAAGCGTGGGGAAAGGGGAAAGCGCGAACTGGTCGTCGGTGTTTAAAAGACGAGCATCGTGGCGGTGCGATTTTGGTGCTGCTCGATTTTGTCCACCGTATCGGATACCGAAAGCTCCCGTCGGGCTTGGAGTAAAACAAACGGAGCATAGTGGCGTGTCCTTGCCCCCCTGCCAGGGAGCACGTGACACTCGCACGGCGTTGAGTATGGCTCCGGTGGCTCGTAGCGTCCACTGCGGTGGTAAGGTGGAACGGAGATATAGCCGGGGATGGTCACGCTCGACAGGAGGTCACCGTGCACAAGCAGCCTGTCCCGTCTTCGGTCAAGAGCGGCGGCCTCGGGTGGGAGCAGTTCATTGCACAATCCGCACACGGTTGCCAACCCCGACAAGTTACATAGTAATACCCGTATGTGTTTGTCACGAGCGTCGTCGTCTACTCCGTTCTTTTTTGATATTTCGCAAACACGTTTGATTCTTGAGCCTTTCGGGTTGCGCGCGCCCATCACTTCCGGCCGCAGCGTCGTATTTTTGATATCGCGTCCGCTGCGCACCGGAGCGAGCGACGCGCTTTTGATGAGCGATATCGACTTGAACCAAGCGCGCAGGCTCCCGAAGCCGGCCAAAAAGACCGCACCCGCCGTGCGTCCATTCCTTTCTTCTTTTTTACACTATGCACACCTATAATCTCTTTCTTGTATACATATATACTGTATATATATATATGTGTGACTGTGTGTGTGCGTGTGTGTGTACGTATGTATCTGTATGTATATATATATAGTATGTGTGTACAAACATTTCCTCGATTAGATACATAGACAAATAAAAAATAAATCGCTCGTTTTGATATTTCAAGCTTAAAAAACGTTTGATTTCTTCCTTAAATACCCGTTTGCGCGCGCTCCTCGTTTACCGGAGAGCGCCGATTCCGTTTGAAAAGTGTACAACAGCAGCCAGAAGGGGCTTCGAGAAAAAAAAAAAAAAGAACGTGAACAATTTAACCCGCCGAACGAACCACGGGTTCTTCGAACCTCCGGCGGATCCGCTTGGCCCCAGTATGGACCGCAGAACTTATCGACTCTGCAAGAACAACTTCGGCCAGGAATCGGTTGACCAAAAACCATCACTGTCTTCGACTAGGCGCAAGACTCGCCAATTGAGGGATGATTGCGTGCTTCATTCCTGATGTTGGGGCAAAGGTGCCCGAACGTCACGGATGACGTCAAGAATATTGTCACATATGACGTCACGAATGACGTCAAGCGTGACGTTTATGATGTCGCCAAGAATGAAGCAAAAGTGCTGGGCGTCTTAAGGATCGCGTCGCTCATTTTGTGATACCGCGACCAGCGCGTGAAACGCTAACTTTAGAAGACCAATTCTTGTTTTTACGTGCTACGATATTTGTCGCATAACAGCAATAACAATACGAAACATACACAGCTTGGTCGGATGAAACGCTCCCAGAGGTTTTCGGGCTCAATGATTCTTAGGTTATTTGACTGAGTCATCGTCATTGCCTGTCATTTCTGTTCGAACGACAACAGGGAAGGACTTTAACGATCGTAGTTTCTGTGGTTAACATTTTGTTCATGGGTAAAGGACCTGAGACACCCAGGTGGAAGGTAGTTTGTGGTTAACCGATCCTGGCCTTGCGTCCCACTCTGAATTCGAGACTGGGTCCCAATTCGGCCGGCCAAGAGGCTCAGCAACATCCTCGTCAAAGGCGCTGTGCTAGGACGACGCTGCAAGCGCGTACGACCCGTTGCTCGCGTCGCCGTCGGTACCCCGGTCCGGCGGTCCCGGCAAGGCCCTCGTGAGCCCGTGGGGCAGCGCCCGGTGGTGCAGCGGCCGCACCAAGTCCAGCTGGAATCCCTGGGCGAGGCGGTCGCCCAGCGGGTCCTCGTCGTCGTCGTCGTCGTCGTCATCATCATCGTCATCGGGCACTTCGGAGTCCGAGCGCGAGTTAGACAAGTCTAGCACCCCGGGCAGGTTAGCCGGGTAACGGTACGGCGTTGTGGACGGCAGCAGCAGCGGCGTGGGCGAGATCGACATGTCCAGGGGCTCGGTCTGCTCGCCCTGCAGGAAGAGGTCCCTCTGCTGCGGCGTCAGGATGCGGATGGTGTGCCGGGGCTTGCGGCGGTTCTTAGGCGCTGCCTCCTGGACCTCGACCGAGTGGGCGGCCGGCGGCATCGCGATCGGCGGCGTGCTCGGAGGCGGCAGCGGCGACGTCAGCTCGTAGGCCCTGGGCCTGCGCCCTCGGCGAGGCTTGCCGGCGTTCGCCTCGTCCTTGGGACACTTGTGGTGCATCAGGTGATGCCGGCGCCGGAACCTCCCCAGGCAGAGCTTGCACTCGAAGGGCTTCTCGCCCTTGTGGATGAGCATGTGCGCCTTTAGCTGATTCGAGTCCGAAAACTTTGAGTCACACAGCTCGCATGCGTATGGACGCTCCCCAGTGTGCACGCGAAGGTGGCGCCGCAGGTTGGCCACCTGGACGAACTGGCGCTCGCAGTGGGTGCAGTGGTACGGCTTCTCGCCCGTGTGCAGCCGCATGTGCGTCTTGAGGTGGTGGTCCCGCGTGAAGCGCTTGTGGCACTCGCGACACTCGAACGGCTTCTCGCCCGTGTGGGTGCGCTCGTGGTTCTGGAGCACGTGCTTGTAGCCGAAGCATCGGTTACAGACACTGCACACGAACACCTTGTCGCGGGGCGGCTCCCGTCGGCCGAGCAGGTTGGACAGGAAGGCCAGCTCGCCCGTGGTCGACGACGCGGCCCCAGGCAGCGGCGGACTCCGGGAGCCACTCGACGAGGCCGCCGCGGACACGAGCGGCACGCCGTGCAGGCCGTTGCCGCCAGACGCCGCCAGGCTGGTCGGACTCGCACCGCTGCTCCCGTTGCTGCGGCATTCCTCGGCCTCACTTGCCTCCTTCATTCCTCAGGCCGAGCTCTGCCAGCCTGCGGGAGAGCGAGAAGACGCCAAGGGCGGCACCATGAAGCATCAGGAAGCACCAGGACATGGTGTCGTCCTCAAATCAATTGCTGGACTACTAGGGCTATCAAGACCATTAAGACCTTTGACTAAAGTCCATTAAGCAACATTGGCGATCGCCATTGCTTTGTCTTTTTAGACTTAGGATAGGTGGCGCAGGCTACAGCCCGTTACAAAGGGTATAGCCATTAACATCCATGCATCCATCCATCCATTTGACATAAAAAGCGCGGTTGGATCCGTGACTTCGCCGGATGCTGTCGCTTCATCGTTTTCAATAACAGCTGAGCCGAGTTCACATGGAACGCTGACGCAGCCCTAGTGTCCAGTCGTGCCCAGAATACGTGGTCAAGCAATGGCGGACAGGCGATGGCGCCGACGTTTGAAGTGTCTATTAGCGCTACAGACAAGTCCTTGTCCTGTACACTTCTACTCGACTTCCCTCGCTGTCTTGACTGTCCCCGTCCTTGTACGCCTTACATCGCGGAAAACACGAGACACGCCTCGAGAAAAAGGGGAAACTGAGATAATGTAAGTCGGAAACACTCTTAAATAAAATCCTCACAGCACAGACCAAGAATTTATTAATTATTGTTTTTTTTTTTTTTTTTGCCGATGAGGTCTAAAGCTACTGAGGATGAGAATTAGTTTCTTCGGCAAAGGAATAGTAAAATGTTTGTTAGCTGAGGTCTCGGTGACCGGGTCATCAAAATCAGCTTGGAGAAAGATCCGGAAATGATACGCTAAACCTGTTTTGTAGGCATTTAACCTCTCATTCGCGTTCATGAGAAACTATTCTAAAAGATGCACCCCTTACGACCCTTTTTCGTTCAAAGACTTTATCACCCCGAGTGATAAGAGTTTTTTTTACTACAGTTTAATGCTCGCCATCTAAAAATAAAGAACAATCTGCGAGTATTTTTTCTACGCCACTCTAAAAACGAATTGACATTTTGTCTTTCAAATAGACGTGGTATTTAACATAAATACGACATTATACATCTTCCATGTTACAGAACCTTATCGTTACCTCGAAAGAATAGGAGAGGAGGAGGTGTGCCGCTATATAGAAAATAATGTAGAAAACTTGATGTGATAACAAATTCTTTTATGATAACACTGAATCGGGAGTTTCTTAAGATACCATGCGCTAATGCAATATTCATCGTTGTATATGGCTGTAGTTCTCAAGTTTGGCCAGCACCTCTGGCGAGCAAAATCGAATATTGCTTGGGCGCGTTTCGGTTGCGCGTCACTGCGCTTTTTCACGTTGCTCGCTGGAGCTAAGGTAGCAGAATTTTTATTAAGAAATAAACATTTTCGTAAAAAAGACAACAAAAACAAAAGAGCAGAGCGAGCTACCTATTTTTTTAAGCTTTATTCTCAAGATTAGTTATAACGAAGTCAACGGGAATCTGAAATCACTTCGCTATATCCGCTATTTCGTTATAACCGACTTCGTTATAACCGGTCACGAGAGTATTTATTTATTTCGGTCGCTCTCTTAGAGCGCGTGAACAGATGCTGACGAACACTTGTAAACGACCACCGTGGCTCGTATATGATCCAACGCTGCCGGGGCGCTTCATCCTCGATGCGAGCATTACATGAGCGTATCTTACGGGCGCGCTCGTGCCCCCTGGCCGAGAGAAGCGGGCCTACACCGGTCCCTGTACGGTGCAGTATCCGTATATGAAAGGTATCTCGAATATATGTTACCATACTGGACGCAAACAGGCATTCATGTTGGTATTTGCGGTGATTTTAATGTGGACCTGTCATCCTCAGACCCAAACAGGCAAAAACCTCTTGGTGTGTTCCATTCCTTTGGTGATGAAAGTGTTGTTAATGTAGCCACAAGGTTAACAGATGCGTCCGACACCCCGCTTGACTTGTGTATCGTGAATCACCACTCGAACGACTTGAAAGCAGGTGTAATATAATTACGGATCTTAGTAACTGCTTGCCGATCTTTATCTTGTTACACCTTACTGAACGCATTAAAGACAGCCTTAACACACAATAGCAATTACATGTAGAATAATAAACAATAATAAAATCCATTTATTTCATAGATTAGTCGCGAAAGTAAACTGGATCAGCGCTTCACAATCGATTAGCCCCACTACGACTTACGACATGTTTAAAACAAGTACAAAATATACTTTTGTATCCACTACTGTTGGAGGAGACATTTTCCTGCCTGTTACGAAAACAAAGGTATTATAGCGCACGCGGTGAAGGTGGAATTAAAGTTCAACTTATAAAATCAGCTGCCGATTTTATTACCCAACCACCCTAGCACATATGTAACCTAGTCACAAATTCCGGTGTATTACCAGATAAATTAAACAAAGAATTGCAAGAGTAACGGTAGTACAGAAATGAGGGGATCCAAATGCTAAACCAGGGGTCTGAGATATTAGGTATTAGGCTCGCGAAGGTGTTCCAACCTGCCGATGGAAGAGCGAGGTCCTTTCAGTGAACACAGAGGTTCGGGCGAGTTGGGTGCTCCATGATGTACAGGGGGAAGAGCGCACCCGCGAAACAGTCACTCGAGTCAACAGACACACAAAAGAAAGAACAGCGCTGCCTAATACCCCATTCACACGACCGTCAAGGTACCTTTAGCTAAGGGACCTTTCTTCTCTGCGGCTAATCAAATCACGATCTTCCGCGCGTGGCCTCTGCTCGCGACCCAAGAACAAGGGCTGATTCGACGATTGCAGAGGGACCTATGTTAAAGGTACCTTTATGTAGACCGTGTGAATGGGATGTAAGTGTCTCTTTCTTTTGTGTGTATATGTTGACTCGAGTGACTGTTTCCCGGGTGCGCTGTTCCCCCTGTACACCTTTGAGTGAAGCCCGGCCCGCTTCCAGCAGAACTCCTGCTATCGGTGCAGATATGAGCGCGCTTAATTAGAAACGGTGCCGCGACACACACCAGCCGCGTAGACAAGGGTGCAAGAAGAAATGAACAAAAATGAGAAGAACGTAAAGTGTGTCTTTTCGTCACATTATCCATTGGACATTGGAGCCTCCCCATTCTCGGTCCTTTCCTTCAAATCTGCGTAACTATATACGTATGCTCAAATTTCTTTGCATTCACGCGTATGTTGAGCTTAGTGACCTTGCATCTATTGAATATTGTTACCATCAGTTCCATAATTCTCATTGGTCTTCTGCCCCGTGTGAACTTGCCAAAGTGCACTTTGCTTTATGCCTAAATTGTGAGTTTTCCGCGACTCAATTCTTGTGTAGTTTCATAATTGGCTATGTACTGTGTTTCAAAACGAATTATATATCAATCAATATCTATACTTTATTTTCTTTCACGGGAGTGATGGCAGCAGGGACAAAAAGCTGCAACAAGTGCAGCGTGACAAGGCCTAAGAGTATGTATTCAACCACGTTGAAGTTTCCTCTAACTTTCAATATCGTCTTTAAATGTTTGATTATTGGTTTTTCCTCTTTGATATTTACTGAATACGTTAGTGAAATTTAGAAGCTCTCTCAGCGTGATTTTTATGATATTTAGTGACGGCATTAGCAAAACATGTTTTTGAACGTAATTGCGAACGCACTACGGCCCTTCTTTTTTAAATACCGCTAATCACAGTCCGCGGAGTGATGTCGCCTCCTGGCGTTTTATCCTTCCTCGGAAAACATGGTGGCGATGATTGGTGAGCCGGGGAATGGGACAAAGTTGTCTCTTTAGGTGCCCAACGACCTCTCAGCCTTCGAAAAGCAACTCGTCAAACGGTCAAAACAACTGGGTTTGGTGTCTGTGTACGTAGTTTTGGTTGTGACTCCGCCGGGGCAGCCTTTCACGCAGAACCGGCGCGACGTGGCCCCTCACGTCGCTCACAAAAGTCCACTGCGCAAACTCTTCGACCTCACACCGTTTCAAAGAATTTGAGATCACTGAAAGGGCCCTAAAAGTACCTGAAACTGAAAAATGAAGCGTCGTCTGCTCACGGCCGGATAGGCGTCACGCACGCAGGAGAGCGTCTTATCGCAAACGCGGGCGAGCACGACACTTCCGGTCGCGGCGGTTCGGAAGCGTGAGAGAAACTCGAGTTGCAGGACGGCTCAATCTTTGACGTCATTGCACTGGTGCGAACCGCGCGGGAACTTCAAACTCGGCTTTTGGAAATTGTATTTTTCTTTTTAAGAGCGCAGTTCTTAGGCGCTCGTTTCCGGCTTGAGCAGCCTCGCTGTCGCCGTCACCTTAGCCGCGCGTTGCGTTATGGGAGGTTTCCCATAATGACGTCAACGTGACGTTAAGAGTGACGTCACGAGGGTCTCGCGCGTAGAATTATGGGATGATTTCCATAATGACGCCACGAGTGACGTCACGAGGGTCACGAATGACGTCCCGAGCGTCCCGCGCGTTGCGTTATGGGAAACGTCCCATGATGCACTTTACCTGACACATAGATTCTCGATGTTCATAGACTCGGCCTCCTAATCAAAAGCATTGTTACAGGTAATAGTTTTTCGATTCGGTCGCTAAAAAAGCCCCCGAAAACGGTTCTAAGTTGGTACGTTCTCGCTTCTCCAAATTGCAAGATTTAGAAAGATCCGGGGCCGTGGTTGATCTGGTTTATTACGAGGTATTAATATTTAATTGTTTATTAATTAGGCATTATGGTATAGTCTTAAAACAGGAGAGAAGCGTTCTCTACCGTCAACCGATAGGCAAAGGCTAATAGCCAAACGTACTGCCCTGAGCCACCAGGTATTATGGATACGCGTTAAACGATTAAAGTTGAAAGGTATAAATTCACTGGACGCCATATTTGAGGGCGATGTTTAGAGCACATGCTCGGAAGGAGCTCACATTAATAGCCTGCTAAGACTGACAACCTTGATGGTGCTAAATGCACGCTCCAAAAGGACTGCGGAAGCTCGCCGTCAGCACGTGCTCAGCAGCAGCGCAC